CCTCCATCCATTCCTCCCTCCCTTTTCTTCCTTCCTTCCTTCCCTTCCTTCCTCCCACCCCTCCTTCCTTCCCTCCCCTTTCTTCCTTCCTCCATCTATTCCCTCCCTTTTCTTTCTTCTTCCTTCCTCCCCTCCCCTTTCTTCCTCCATCCATTCCCTCCCTCCCTTCCTAACTTCCTCCCTCCCCTCCTTTTCCTTCATTCCTTCCTCCATCCATTTTCTTTCCTTCCTTCCTCCATCCATTCCCTCCCTTTTCTTCTTTCCCTTCCTTCCTCCATCCCCTCCCTTCATTCTTTCCTCCCACCTCTCTTTCCTGCCCTCCCTTTCCATCCATTCCATTTGCCTCCCTTCCTTTTCTTTCTTCCTTCCTTCCTTCCCTCCATCCATTCCCTTCCTTCTGATATAAGGGGGTACAGATTCTGTTTATTCATTCCAATCTAATAACAGCCCAACATATACAAGTGCTCCCTGTTTACTCCCTACTGACACTGTCCACTGCCCCCACAAAATCATTGTGAAAAAAATACAGAAATAAATAGTAAAAAAAATTTAAAAAAATTAAATAAAAATTAAAAAATTCTGACACCCATGCGATTGCTCTACTGACACCATCCACTGGCCACCCAAAAGCATTTTGAAAAAAAAAAATGATAAAAATATTAAAACATTAATATGTAAAACAAAATCATAAAATTATAAAAAAAAAAAAATAATACTAATAAAAAGGAAAAACTACTGACACCACCTACTGACACCATCCTACACATACTACCCACCGCCATACACTCAGCACTCTTCTCCCTGTACATACTACCCACTGTCATACACTCCACACTGCACATTCCCTATTTAACATTACCTCATTCTGCACTACATAAGTCATCTCAGACACTATTTAACCACACCCCTTTTAAGCCATGCCCAATTTGTAGCACAATTTAAAACACACGCCTCTCTCTCATCCCTTCTCTCTCTCTCTCTCTCTCTCTTCCTCTTTTTCACCCTCTCACTCCCCTTTCTCTTTCACTTACCCCACATGGCAGCCATCTTTAAACCTGAAAGTGTCCAGTGGCTTCTATGGAAAGAAGCCGGGAACATTCCTGCAGTCTTTGCTGCAGTAAATATTTAAATGCCCCTTCTATGGAGTTGAGCTGCAATATGTAGGTAGGGTGTTGTGTGGGCGTGCTTGAGTGTAGGGGGGGCCCCATTATCTCTTACTGCCTGGGGGCCCCATGAGTTGTCAGTCCGCCCCTGTTCCTGGTATACTTTGACTTCTCCCATGTTGTTCAGGTAGATCATCACCTCATTAAGGTTGCCTACCCCTGACCTATAGAAATGATGAATGCAACAGATAGACTAAGAGAACCCATACGTACAGAGTGGAATTCTACTGAAATGCTAATTACTATGTGAACCAGATAAAATTCTAACTCTTAGTGCAAACATACCAAGTCTTCACTAACTTGATTTTCTTTGACTCTGTCTGTACACCCATACAGGGTCCTTCCTGAGCTCTCAGTCTTCATCTTTATTTCTGCACGAGAAACACTTTCCATAGATACCTCCAGGGATTCTCTTGTGCTGCATCCTTTCTGTGGAACACCCTCTGATCAGTTAGTCAGCAAACACACCTTGAAACTCATCTTTTCTGAAATGAACATGTAGGCAGGTACAGTTAGCCACTTTGCCACTAGGTGGCTCTGGACTCTGTACAAGAATAGTGGTACAGCAGGTAGTGCCACTAGGTGTTAGGACCCTTTTACATACAGCCCTCCCGCAAGTGATGTCAGGGGTGAGTCTAGGTGAGGAGGGGACACAGCAGACTTGACACCTAGGGGCCATACACCCCACATATGTGAGACTGTAATCTACACACGTGGGCCCTGGATATGGCAGAGGGCCGGGTGGAATAGACATGTATGCAGGAAGAGCCAGCTGTAGACCTTCTGTCCCTTACGGAGGTGGGGGCCAGGATTGCAAAGGCTTTAGGCCAGGCTGGAAATCCCTCTGTGAGTCTGCTTCCCTGGAGGGTTTCCAGAAGAATTGTACCCAGCTAGGAGGTATCAATAGAGAACACAGTCCTGTGAGCATTTATGACCCTGGGAAGAAGAGAGACTGCAGGGAGAGGCTGAGATGCTGCATGTGCTTTCACCTGAGAGTACTGCACATCGTCCACTTTATGTGATTTGTATGTCCTTGTGATGTGACTCTTGCCATTTAATGAACAACATTAGTAAAGCGCATTGAAGTTATTTATTGTGTGGACATTCCTTCTTCTGGATATAAAGGTCTATGGCCAGTGATTTTGTGAGGAGACATGGCACAAGATGGCTGAGGGGTCACCCTCAGCGGGCGGGATTGTGTTATAACAGGGCTGGAACGGGGGCAGGGCCTTGTGCTTGGGCACCAAAACTACCCAACCTCAAAGCCCCTCTTACAAACAGACTTTTGATTTCCTCTCCTACTACCCCATTTTTTCCCATCACTTTATCCCATCACAGCATTGCCATCTACAAGACTACTGCTACCAATTTCCCCCCACCTCTTCAATCAGTATTTTTTTTTCTTTCAAACGAGGTTCTCATTTTACATGGTGTGTTTTTGTATGCTTTAATATCATTGTTATAACCCTTTTATGTGATCGTTAGTGCTTAGGTTTTTTTTCTAAAATTGCAAACATTCTATACTTACTTGCTCTGCGCACTGGTTTTGCACAGAGCATCTCTGAACCTCCTTTTCTGGAGTCCTCCACTGGCGCGCTTGGCTCCTCCTCTTCTTTGTGTGCCCCCATAGCAAGTCGCTTGCTATGGAGGCACCCCTGTGGGCTTGATCCTGAGCCAGCTCAGCCCCACCCCCAGCTCTCTGCTCACAGGATTTGAATTTCAGCAGCTCCCAATGACTCCCATTGTTGCCTCTGTGAACAGAAAGAGAGGAGAGACCGGCTGTTGACAGGCACAGTGCTGGATCGAGATTGGGCTCCGGTAAGTATACAGGAAGGGTAAGGGATGAAACAAATACAGGCACATTTTTTTCTTAATGCGGGGAATGCATTAAGGTAAAAAATGTCTAGCCTTTATAACCATTTTAATATGATGTACACTGTTCAAAAATGTAAAGGAACACTTTTTAATCAAAGTATAGCGTCAAGTCAATTAAACTCCTAAGATATTGATCTGGTCAGTTAAGTAGCAGAGGAGGTTGTTAATCAGTTTCAGCTGCTTTGGTGTTATTAAAATTAACAATAGATGCACCACTAGAAGGGCAACAATGAGACAACCCCCAAAACAGGAATGGTTTTAAAGGTGGAGGCCACTGAAATTTTTTTCCCTACTCATCATTTCTGACTTTTTCACTAGTTTTGCATTTGGCTAGGATCAGTGTCACTACTGGTATCATGAGGCAATACCTGGACCCTACAGAGGTTGCACAGGCAGTCCAACTCCTCCAGGATGGCACATCAATACTTGCCATTGCCAGAAGGTTTGCTGTGTCTCCCAGCACAGTCTCAAGAGCATGGAGGAGATTCCAGGAGACAGGCAGTTACTCTAGGAGAGCTGGACAGGGCCATAGAAGGTCCTTAACCCATCAGCAGGACCGGTATCTGCTCCTTTGTGCAAGGAGGAACAGGACGAGCACTGCCAGAGCCCTACAAAATGACCTCCAGCAGGCCACTGGTGTGAATGTCTCTGACCAAGCAATCAGAAATAGACTTCATGAGGGTGGCCTGAGGCCCGACGTCCTCTAGTGGGCCCTGTGCTCACTGCCCGGCACCATAGAGCTCCATTGGCATTTGCTACTGAACACCAGAATTGCAGGTCCACCACTGTGCTTTTCACAGATGAGAGCAGGTACACCCTGAGCACATGTGACAGACATGGAAAGGTTTGGGGAAGCTGTGGAGAACGTTATGCTGCCTCTAACATCATTCAGCATAACCGTTTTGGTGGTGGGACAGTGATGGTCTGGGGAGGCATATCCATGGAGGGATGCACAGACCTCTACAGGCTAGACAATGGCACCCTGACTGCCATCAGGTATCGGGATGAAATCCTTGGACCCACTGTCAGACCCTACACTGGTGCAGTGGGTCCTGGGTTCATACTTGTGCACGACAATGCCCGGCCTCATGTGGTGAGAGTATGCAGACAGTTCCTGAAGGATGAAGGAATTGATACCATTGAATGGCCCCCACACTCGCCTAAGCTAAATCCAATAGAACACCTCTAGGATATCATGTTTCAGTCCATCTGACACCGCCAGGTTGCACTTCAGACTGTCCAGGAGCTCAGTGATCTCCCTGGTCCAGATCTGGGAGAAAATACCCCAGGAAACCATCCATCGTCTCATTAGGAGCATGCCCCAACATTGTCAGTCATGCATATAAGCACGTGCGGGCCATACAAACTACTGAGTACCATTTTGAGTTGCTGCAATGAAATTTTAGCAAAATGGACTAGCCTGCTGCATAATTTCTTCACTTTGATTTTCAGGGTGTCTTTGAATTCAGTCCTCTGTAGGTTGATCATTTTAACTTATGTTCCTAACACATTACCTAGTCCATATCAGTATAGATATCCAGCATGATATTTTTCTCCATTGAGATCTGATGTGTTTTCAAAGTGTTCCTTTAAAATTTTTGAGCAGTTTATATGATGATATATAGTTAACACTGTATAAATGGATTCACTGAAAATAACCACTGCACTGCAATGCATAACAATAATATGTTTGGGTATTGCTGTTTTTTCACAGAGTGGGCCACCTTCGCTTTGGGACCAGGACATGGTATCCAGCTAAAATCTGGTCGTCTCCTTGTTCCTGCTTACACTTATCACATCAACTGCAGAGATTGCTTTGGTAAGCTCTGTCGCACTACGCCACATGCCTTTGCCTTTCGTAGTGACGACCATGGAAAGTCTTGGAAAGTTGGAGAACTTATCCCAAACCTTCACACAGTGGAATGCCAACTGGTGTCAGTGGATGAGGAAGATGGAAGTAACATGCTGTATTGCAATGCCAGAAGCTCTTTAGGATTCCGAGTACAGGCTCTGAGCTCTGATGGTGGCATTGTATTCCAACCTGGACAGTTGGTTGAGAAGTTAGTTGAAACACCCAACGGGTGTCATGGCAGTGTCATTGGTTTCCCATCTCCTTTGGACTTTTTATCAAGATATAATACCAGTAATCCAGCTTGCTGCCAAGCTGAGAGCTCAGTGATGTTAGCTAAACTGTCAGACCTAAAACAACGGAATAAAAAAGGTCCTCAAACACAGGACAACATAAATATTCTTAAAAATAGTCTACAACAACGGCAATTCAGCAGTGAAAGTGATACCTGTAAATTGGTTTGTCACAGGCAGATTAAATGGGAGGATGTTTGCAAAGACACTTGTTATGTTAGCATGGAATTACCAAAAAAGTTAAAGTTGCAATACAAGACGTACCACAGGACTGGGCAAAAGTTTCAGACACCTACATGGGTGCTGTACTCCCATCCCACCAGTACACACTCAAGGATAAACCTAGGGGTCTACCTCAGCCCCTATCCCAAGGATGCTGATAGCTGGAGAGGACCCTGGGTCATCTATGAGGGACCCAGTGCCTACTCCGACTTAGCATATATTGAGCTGCCTTCTAGTGAAGATGGACCTGTAAGGTTACCTCCCATAGTTGCATTTGCCTGTCTCTATGAAAATGGCCTAAAATCTCCTTATGAGCAGATATCCTTCAGCATCTTCACCTTGTGTGAGGTCATCCAGAACCTGCCACTTAAACCCAATGTTCTCCATATTCCCGTGGACAAAGACAAAAAGAAAGGGAAATGTAAAACTTCATAAAAGAAAACAAATAAGCTAACTTTAATATTGTGTGCCATTTCTTTGTAACTATTTGCATCTAGTCCATGTACCTGTAGAATAAAAGTTTAAAGAAAGTTAATTAGTATTTAGATGGTTTAAAGTTCACTTGTTAGCAACCTGTTTCTTGCACATGTAGCGCTACTGGTAACTGGACTGACATAATTTGAAGGGATGTTGATCTTCACTAACAGCTGCATTATGGACACTTTAAGTGGATTTTAAAATAGAAAAAGTTTATTGAACATGGCAATATGGGAAGGAGGGTGCAATGCAGATCAGGATATCCCAACAGTATACTGGAGCCTATACTCTAGACTAGGCCTCAATCTCATCTAGATTTCTCTCACTAGTCTCTTATGTCAACCTTCAGAAACACAGACTGTGATGGTTGGACTCCTGCAGAGCTTGGTGTTCTTGGTGAATAATGTTCAAGTAGTATCCCAGTCTTCCCTTTCAAGGAGAGACAGCATGGAAAGGTTGATGTGTAACTTCCCACTAAACCAAACCTAACCACGTGTCCATATGTGGGGGTAGTTGCAGTTTGCTTCCCCAAAGCCTTATACTCCCTTCTTCAGCGGCCAACACCTCTAAGCTGACATCCATATAGGTCAGGGAATGGCTCAGATAATTAAAGTAGAAGCAGCCTTTGTTTAGTGTATTTTGACAGTGGCAAGTATCATGTTTTGCAGCACACCTGGATTGTCAGTGCTGCATGGATTACCCCTGTACAGGTCATATAAGCCACAGAAGAGAAGAAGGTCATTCAGATACATTTTTTTCTCTATGATAAATCCACTCACATGATACATTGAATTAATGCCACAAATAAAAGATAGTTGCATGAGGGTAATAAATACTGGACTTTAAAATGTATCTGTACTAGCAAAAACATACAGTATATGGACTTTAGAAGGAACGTTCTCCTCCACAAGTATCCAAACCTGGACACCTTATTATGCAATTACCAATTTCCAATTAGAAATCTGGCATGTTAGGCTGCCCCTCTCCTATGTCCCACTCCTTGCTATAAAAGCTTCTTAGGTGAAGCTTCCTTTTCTTTAGATAATGTAAAGCTTCATCTAATGGCAGCAAGGGGCTGCAAAAGATTAAACAAGCTTTTCTTTTAGAAATTTTCTTTATACAAACCTTTTTCTGGTCACAATTTCCAACAAACATGCCCAAGATGGCATTCACCAGCTGAGAGAGGCACAGGACAATCTGCGATGTGTTGATTTAACACAGGGATATAAAGAAATGGGAGTTCCAGGTCTCTATATCTGGTGGTTCAATGCAGGTCGTCTTCTTGGAGGAGATGTCAGCTAAAGAGTTTGATGTACTGCAAAACATTAAATGGAAAGAACTGATTAATACGAATTTTTATATTTTACACAATTAACTAATGCTAAGGTAGCATAAGTATTAGCTCAGTGGTTAAACATTCCCTTTTCTCTCAGTGGCAATACTGTTTCATACCTTTCTTCCAGTTGCAATGCTCTGTGCTAGCATAACTGAGGAGCAGCCACATTCCTCGCACAAACTTGTGGAGTGGCTGTTCCTGAATTTCCATTCTGGAAAGCACTTGTACTAGATTTGGTGCCTGTTGGACTTGTGAGAACCAGCTTCAAATGGTCAGGGGCGGACTGACAGCTAATGGGGCCCCCGGGCAATAGGAAATCATGGGGCTCCTGTGTCCTCGCCAACACTCAAATCACACCCAAAAAAGCCTATGAAAGGTATCAGGGGCATCTCATGGGGCCCCCTACTGACCCCCGGGCCCTCGGGCAGTGCCTGAGTGCCCGAATGGTCAGGCCGCCCCTGCAAATGGTAGTACATTATAGACATACCCACTCTTCTCAATCCTATTTTTAGGGCTTTTCTTGCCAACATTTATTATAATAAAGTTCAAGAAAATAATATGGGTTTCCTTTGTAGGGGTTTTCCAGCATTTTGTAGGCACAAAATTAAATATATTTCAGCCTCCTGGCTTAAACTTGCAGTGCTCCTGCTCTGACGTCAAACCTCAGGCCCTTTTTCTGTCTCTTTCAGATAGTCTTCTCACAAAACCCTGTGCATATATCTAGCCTTTTTTTCTGCTGCACTGGTTCCCACCTATCTTCTAGGTCAAGGGTATTGAAATAAAATTCACCAAGGTCCAGTCAGCAAAATAGGTTTAGGGTTAAGGACTAGGGTTAGAGTTAGCGGTAATCATGCAATCATTAGGGTTAGGGTTAGCAGTAATCCCAGACTGTGTGTGCTATATGTCCACATCCCAGCAAATCATGTTCAACTATGAACAGAATATGTAGTCATGGACATTGGGTGGACGTATAGAAGAGAAAAAAGAGTACCCTAAAAAACAACTTTATTTACCACTAAAAAATCTATTACACAACATAAAAAATTTCGGGAATCCTTCTTCAAACAGGCCGCTTCTAAGCAGACAGCTGAATTAGACCTAAAGCCACCAGACCACCAATAGACTGTTACCAACATTGCTGCCCAGCACTCCTAATCTTTAATAGAGTAATATCAGTCAGTAGGATAGACTGGGATTAATAGCATGTGCATGTTGCCCAAAAAAGTGCAAATGAGTAAGCCAAGGTGAAGCCACTGCTTCTCGGGTGGGAAAGTCAGGTACATTTAGTAAACAGTAAATGGTCTTGTACACATAATCTTAAAATAGAAGGACCAACTTCCTAGTGGGGAACCATCCAGATCAAATGTATGTAAATTGCTAAAAAGACAGCATGGTAGTCAAAGTTGTCAAGGAACATATACTGTATTCCAAAGAGGGGGCTCTTGATAAGTAAGAAATATAAGAAAAAAACTCAGTTCACATTAATCTAGCCAATCCAATCCACAGACTGGATTGATGTAAAGTGAGTTTTTATCTAAGATACTTATCAAGAGCCCCCACTTTGGAATATATGTGCATTGACTACTTGACTACCATGCTGTTGGTCTTTCTATTTTAAGATTATGTATAAAAGACCATTTGCTGTTTACTGAATGTACATGAATTTCCCACCTGAGAGGCAGTGGCTTCACCTTGGCTTACTCAATTGCCTCTATGGGCAACATGAACATGCTGTGAATTACAGTCTACCCTACTGATTGATATTACTTTAATAAAGATTAGGAATGGGTTCCAGTGTACTGATTCTGTCACATGTGCACCTGAAGAGGGAATCCCAAAACGCGTCAAGTCCACATGTGAACTGTAATTTGAATCTCTGTATCTTGTGAACCCCTATGAGGAGTGTAATTTTAATGCTGTGTAATAGATTGTTAATGGTACATAATAAAGTTGTTTTTGCAGTACTCAGTTTCTCTTCTATATGTCCACACAAAGTCGATGACTACCTTTTGTTCATAGTTGAACATGATTTGTTGGGATGTGGACATATAGCGCACCAAGTCTGGGTTTCTCTCCCGTTTTTGATTTGTTGCATATTCCTTTCTGTTTCTGCGCTGAAAGGTAATTGTTTGTTCTTCCTTGTGTCTCTGAATACTAATTCTGAATGGGAGTAACTGTCTCATTACTAATCAGTTGATGCACTTGCAGTGCTCTAATAAGTTAAGTTTCAGTGACTGCATCCCTAGCAATTAATACTTTGGGAGTATCTTACCAAATTTTTTTTTGTTGTTGAAGAGGATACCTAAAATCTGACATGCATCTTTTGTGCAGACTAATGAGGAAAACAGTGAACCAATCACACAAGCAAAAAATCACCTTTCTTGGGTTGTTCTGGTCACCATATGGCATTGAATTTTACAGAACATTGGAGAGCTGCAGATTTCAAAGCATAGGTATTTTTTTACAACATTCAGTTACAATGTCTTGTATAGCAAATGTACAGTATATAATATATTGCTATATTTATTTTGCAATTTTTTCCCACGAAAGTGGAGTTACCCTTTAACCTTACAAGACAAATAGAAGAAAAGGAAGCTCAGACCCAGCCAGCTATGCAATTGCAGCAATGATTTATGGGACACTGTAACATCTATGTTACTGTAAGCTCCAGTGTTGCAAAATGTGTTGTAGAATTTTGAGGCCTATTATCCAAAAAATGATAACAATTTTACCTAGTGTTGAAGACAGGAAAGCCAATGGTTATGTAAGGATAACCCCACTCCTGTGTTGCTTCACCTTCCACTTGGTACAAACAGTATGGACCACTGAGTAGTCCAGCAACAGAGATGAAAAAGGAAGTTGCAGCTCCAGCCGTAGCTAGAATGGAGAAAAGGCCGGACAACAGCATCTGGAGAGACAAAATAAACAAATAAAAATGAACTACCACTCAAGATAAAAATCAACAATAAACTTATTATAATGTCAGTTTATTTACACTTTGAGTGGATGTACTATATAAAGAGGCTGCTAATATTGATATACTCAAATAGCACACTTCTTGCAGACCCTTAAGTGAGTGGGGGAATCTGACAACTTCCACCCCAATGGAACATTTATGCAAGAACTACGACAAGCATTATAGATTTATTTCCAAATCTATACCCTGCAACACTCTGACTCTTCCAAATTGCCTTACATGGAAAAATGGGAACACGACCTGGGTAAGCTGATGGAAACTGCAGAATGGGGAAAATTAGCCCAATATGCCTCTAAATCTTTTATCAATACCTCATTAATAGAAGCAAGCTATAAGGTTTTTAACCCCTTCATGCCGACACCTCCCGGACCTTTAAGAGTTACAGAATCCAGGAGGTGGGGGGTGGGGTTTAGGGTCATGTGACCGCCGTGATGCGTCGTCACGGCGGTCACATGATCAGGAAAGGTCCCAATCGAAAGAGGAGATCGGGACCTTTCCGTGAGTACCGGACATGTGTGCTGGGAGTGCACTCTCGGCACATATGTCCTTTTTTAATAGAACGCAAATGTGCAGCCACTCGGCGTCTAGGCACAGACACCGGGAGGCCGCACATTTGCGTTTGGCCGACGTGAAGAGGTTAAGATATGGTGCCTGTGAGAATAGCATCCTGTATTCCACATGCGTCTCTCTTATGTTTTAGGGGCTATGGTCAAGAAGGAACAGTGTTCCACATCTGGTGGACATGCCCAAAAGTGAGTCGGTTCTGGATTTGCACATATACCTTTGTCTATTCGCTCACCCAGGTGAATTTCGTTAAAAATCCGCAACAGGCCCTATTGAGAAGTCCAGCAGAGAGGGAGTGCCAAGACACATGAGATGGTTGATAACCTTTATCTTTACAGTAGCTAGAATCTCAATTGCAAGATCTTGGAAGTCTCCCAGGATCCCTTTTCATCTCTTGAGTGCTAAGTAGACATGGATCATGACAAATTAATGCCTGTCAGTGATCCTACATGACAAAATGGCCCTCTTTGAGAAAACTTGGGACCATTGGATCAGATAATCTCACGGATTCCCAGTGACCTTGAAAATTCCCCTACTCTTGGTCTTGGATGAGGGTGCACCTCCTTCCTCCTTTCTCCTCCACTCTTCTTCTTCTTTCTCTCTCCTTCCTCTTTTACTTTTCTTCAGCTCTTCTTTTTGGTTTTAATCTAGTTTCTTCTCCCCTTTTCTTTAGGGGATGATCTTTCTACGCAATCCGGTGTATGAGGCACACTAATAATGTTGGGTTCCATGACGAATAACAGGCAAGATAGCAGGGGTGTAATTTTACCCCTGTACAAATCATTAGTAATACCTCATCTAGAATATGCAGTTCAGTTTTGGGCACCAATTCACAAAAAGAACATTGGGGAACTAGAGAAAGTACGAAGAAGGGTAACCAAACTGATAAGAGGCATGGAGGAGCTCAGCTATGAGGAAAGATTAGAGGAACTGAATTTATTCTCTCTTCAGAAGAGGAGATTAAGGGGGATATGATCAACATGTATAAATACATCAGTGGCTCATATAGTGAACTCGGTGTAGAGTTATTCACCTTGGTGTCAACACAGAGGACAAGGGGGCACTTTTTACGTCTGGAGGAAAATAAATTTAATCTCCAAAAACAGAAAGGTTTCTTGACAATGAGAGCTGTGAAAATGTGAAATAGACTCCCTCAAGAGTTGGTTCTGGACAGCTCAGTGAATTGCTTTAAAAAAGTCCTGGATTCTTTCATAGATACACAGAATATAACTGGACACTAACATTTAGGCCCCATGTACACGGGACACTTCTGAACGATGGAAACTGACTGCTGGAAAACATAGGTTAAAAAACATCTATTTAGCCGCGTTTGCATAACGCGTTTATGCGCATTTGCGTTTAGAAGCGTTTTGAAAGATAAGCAGAGGAGAACCTCCCAAATGCCCAGAATGCACTGAAAAGTGGTAAATTATTAACTATTTCAGACTGTTTCAGAGAAATACACAGAGTAGAAGCAGAGACAGCATTATGTGTTGAAATTAGCTTAGGGGTGAGTTGCTCATTAACATTTCTTTTGTTTCCAAGGATGGGAAATGTGCTGGTGGAGTGAATCATTAAGGCCACCTGGCAGGGGGTCTTTATGAGGAATTTAAGGTGTGAATGGTCATTAACATATCTTTTGTTTCCAAGGGTGGGAGAGGTCTGAAGTGCGAATTGGTCATTACAATGTGTGACAAGCTTGGTAGGAACATCCTGTTTTCAGTGTTTTGTCCATCGGAGTACCTTGAAAATGCTTTGCATGCATTTTTCATGATGAAAAAAGGCTCTACACAGCATCGGGAACTGGAAGAGTTAAAAAAAAATTTGAGACGCAAACGTTTATAAACGCGATTTGCCACGTTTAGCTGCATTATACGTTTGAAACGCTGATAAAATCGACTGCTGAACGCAAGTTTTCTGCATTCAAAAAACGACTGTAAATTCAAATGCCTGTAAACATTAGGGTGAGTTCAGGGGCTGCTGAAAAAAATGCTGAACAGCTCCTAAACGTGAGTTTATCAGCTGCAGTGTACATGAGCCCTAACTATGTAGCTATGTGTCCAGGAGGAGGACCTGTTGTATGCCATCAGAGCCATGCGGGGTGTAACTGGAACAAAGTAGCCTTTCCTTGGGCATGGCAGTGAATAATCTAGTTTGTTTTACTCTCCTCATATACTCAACTTATTTTATGAAGCATGATGGAGATAGATTCCGATATATCAGATTTTTTGCAATACTGAGGAATTATATAGTTGTGTTTTTCCCTATTACACCATAATGTCCTTGGATGTGTATGTTGTTGGAATAATGCTCTTTTCATCCCATATGTTCTCAGGATATGTCTGTACGTCCTTGGAAAAACAATGAAAACTATTGGAAATTACAGAAGCTGCTACAAAAAACCTACAAACATTGCACATTAAGGGTTTGTTCACACATGTGGAAACCTGTGGCACGTCTCCAAATGGGCACACAGAGCACAATTGTTTTTAAATGTCCTATTCACACTAGAATGCAACCTTTCGGTGGGTTGTGGTGCAGTGCAGAAATTTGGAACATGTTTGCATTCTTCTGGCCTGCACCACAGTTCACTTACAGCTCCATTTCTGTCTGTTTCTATGCTCTTGAGCTTCACAAGGCTAACATGTAAATCAGCAGCATTAATTTTCAATGTCCAGCAAGCAGAGTCATCCCTACCATAAGCTTAGAAGCTGGCCATAAACTATGCAAATTTCAGATGATTCTTGATGACCCTGTTGCCAGACAGAATATTTTCAGCCAATCACATGCAGCCACTGTTTGGGTAATCTGGTAGCTGTCAGCAGCGGCTGTCAGAATACTGTATAACCAGCAGGAGATCCATCCATCTGCCCTGTGCAGAGCCTTCCGGCTTGACTAAAAAACTAAAACAAGAGTGTATGGCCAGCTTAAGAATCTCATGTATGGAAACACTTTCCTGAAATGGAGTGGTAATAAATGGACTAAAATAAACAATTATATGTGTAATATGGGGACAATAGCAATATTATATTTAAAAATTCCATTAAACACTTACATGACGGCAAGTTCCAAAGCAGGAGAGTCTTTTTACCTTAAAACTCACAACTGTGGATTGTATACCCACTAAGAGCACCTTGAATTAGAAAATAATATTATCATTAAAGTTCCATTAAACTCACATTGTTAAAAACTGTCAGTACATGCTGTTCTTACACAAACCCTATGGAATTCATTTTCTGTATTCTGCAAAAAACTGATTGATCCCGCTGTTCACTATCCCTCTCTCCTTGTCTGTGTCCCCACTGCAGCCTGAGATTGTGTAGACTAGCTGTTGCCACATCTACCGAGCATGCTCCAGTTTCAGTTCCCTTCTAAGCTGTTCATTTCCTTCTTTTTTTTCTTCTCTGTGTAGCCCACATGACTATAGAGTTACACATGTGGGTGTAAACTTCAGATAAATGACAGCCCACTCCCTCCTTCTCCATGCCCACGAAACTGATAAATACAATGGAGTGGGATATTACATGTTGATTGATGTTGGCATCACCTCCCTGTATCTCTGAGCACATACATATAATAGACACAGGCTGGAGGGGCATGATACAGGCTGTGATGGGCAGAATGTCCCGCTAGATAGCCTACACCATGTTGTTGCACAAAAATAATAAAGATATTTGTATGATGACTTAAAATGTTTGTTTGATATTATGTATTTTCCTTTGCAATACTTTTTTTTGGATATGTGGCCGGGTAGCAGAGGACTAGAAGCTCTTCCCGCGATGTTTCCCTACAGACAGAAAAAGAGCTGGGTCGCATAACAGCTGCATATCAATTAAGGAAAAAAGTACTTTGATTTTTGTTTTTTTTATTAACCACTTCCCGTCCGGCCCATGTAGACAAATGGCCGGACGGGAACACTGACAAAGCGGGTTGACATTTCTAAACGTCACCCACATTC